CTGGGTTCGATTCCTCAGCACCACATAAGCAAAAAGAAAAAAGCCGGAAGTGGCGCTGTGGCTCAAGTGGTAGAGTGCTAGCCTTGAGCTGAAGAGCTGAAGGACAGTGCCCAGGCCCAGAGTTCAGGCGCCATGACCGGACCCCCCCCGCCCACAGGCTCTGTGTTCAAGTCCCAGGACCAGTATGTATGTACCCATGCGCATGTGTGTGTACACACACACAAGAGAGGAGGGGGCCTAAAGTTACTATCTATAATGAGATATGAAAATGTTTACTCCTTTTTTATTCAAAAGTTTTTTTTGACGTATGAGCCCTATTCATATTAAGTCATTTAGAAATGTTCTAACAACAAACATACTTCAGTTTGGCTGAAAACAGTATTATTCAGCCTCACATCAAGCAACTTAGAAGCTCTGGATGCTTATCCCCTGATAAATCTCTTGATTTCCTAGGAATCAGGACACATGTCTTTTAATTAGTGGAGGTTGTCTGCCTCACATCGCTCCTGAACCTAGCTCTTGTTCTCAGACTATGGGCTAGGGCCTTAATTGTGCTGATGTTCCTTAAAACAAACACCTCCCTACTGTCCTTCTCAGATGATTCTTGTTAACTAATGTTTAATGCACATGTGCCCTACACCTTTCTCTGAGGTTTTAAAGAATATTTTAAAATAAGTACAAGTAGGAATTACTCTTATTTGCCAAGAGGCAGTATACATTAGGAATGGCATGATTTCCTTGCTTCTGTTTTCCAAAATATAAAACTCTACATTTAAAGGATTGATTCTTGTAATATATTCTCTGTGATAGATGAAAGCATCCTAATGGCGGGTAAACTAACAGAGAAGCAGATATAGGTTGAGCATCCCTAATGTGAAAATCTGAATCTCAAGTGTTCCAATATCTGAAACTTTTTAAGCACTGACATGATGTCCCAGGCAGAAAATTCTAAACTAGGATAGCACAAAATTATTTGAAATATTGTAATTGTTGAAATATTGTACAAAAATAATCTTTGGCTATGTGAATGAGGTCTATATGAAATATAAGTGTATTTTGCATTTACCCTTGGAGTCTATCCTTCAAATATCTTACGTATATGCAAATACTCAAACATTAGAAAATTCTGAAAAGAGTTTAGGTTCTAAGTATTTCAGATAAGAAATAGCTTGTATCATTTGAATCAAAGGCAGAATGTTAATATTGAATAATTCCAGATAAAGTCACATGACTGCTACTTCTGTTTTCTATCTGTCCCTTTTCTCTTCCAGGGCCAGACACCATTTGATGTGGCTGATGAGGGTCTTGTGGAGCACTTGGAGATGCTCCAGAAGAAGCAGAATGTGGTGAGTCTTGAGTAGATGCTTTTAAAGCTTTTCTAACAGTTTTTTTTTTTTGTCCACACTCAGTACCTCAATTACTTGCTTTAGTTAGGATTGCAACAGTTAGAAGACTGTATTCCAAAAAACATTATTGAAGTTTGCTCATTGTAAGATAGCCTTCAATCAGCTAAAAGTTAAAAATAACAAGAGCAACCTAGTAATTACCCTCAAGTTCTAGAAAAGGAGCATGCTCAAATCAGTGTTTTTTCCCCAATAAGGAATATCAGAGTAGAGTACATCTAATAGAATTTTTTTTCTTACTGACTAAATGATGTCTTTATTTGAGGTACATTGGTTACAAAGAAAAACAATTTTTTCTAAAACTGTCACCTGGCATTGGGCAGTAGTGGGACAGTGATTCATATTTATTTTGGGTTTATGAAACATACAGAATTCGGCCTTCTTTATTCTTTTAGATCCTTGATTGTTTGGTTTCATGTAACAGTTTGCTTAGCACTCAACAGAAGAACTACATAAACATGGTGCCCCTAAACAAACTGCAGAATAGAAAACCACCCTCAGTATACAGCCCATAAAGGGGAATGAGTGATTTGGGCAAGGAGAATAAAGATCAATGACAACAGGGTAGGACAGAAGAAAATCACTGGTTTGCCTTTATTATTTTTCAATTGTATTTGGCACAGAGTATGTGAACTTAAGTTTAGGACAAATATGGGAAATAGAGTGTTTCTGGATCAGAGAACTATCAATGATGGGACAGACTAGTATGTCTAATCTCAGGTGTATTCATCATTATGCCTAAGGCTTCTTGTTATTTAAGCTTAAACAAATCATTTTATAGATTAAACAACTCATTTTACTTTCTTTTTTAAGCAATTGGGATATCTAAAAGCTGGAACTTTGCAAATACAGTATTAGTATTGTTACTTATTGGATTACCTGCCTCAGACAAGAGGTATACTTTTTTTTATTGTAAAGATACTATACAGAGGGGTAAGATATAATTTTTATAGCTAGTTTTTTAAACCTAACATACCTAGGTTTAGATGTAACATCTTTGTCAAATGATTTTTACCCACCAATAGAATGATGTATAAAAATGTCATGTATCTTTGTCCCTTGCATAACTTTATGCTCCAGGGATATAAATACATTTTGTCTAGCACTTTTTCCTAAGGGCTTATTTCCCATTTGGAACCTGTGGTTTCCTTAGAAATATTGCCATCATGTCCCAGTGTTTGGATCATAAAGATTTCTTTCAAAGTTCCTCCAAATTTCTTTCCAAATTCTTCAGAAACAAGGCTTATTTTTTCAAGACTGGGTTTGGATATTGAGGGGAACAGTTCTCTTAAAGCTCTGATACTATATTTTTTCTCTTCTACCTTGGGTAAGGGGTTTCCTTTGTCATTTTATTCTAAGGAGAACTAACTAAAGTATATCTGATTTTTCTCAGATTGTCTTCATATTGCCCCTTGGGTGTTAGTCCTGTTTTTTTGTTTTTGTTTTTGTTTTTTCAGAAAAGAACCACTTTGGTTCTTTTCAATATTGCTGTAGTTAACTTTGTCCATTTTCTCTCTTTTTTTCAATTTCCAGCTTCGAAGTGAAAAGGAAACACGGAATAAACTCATTGAATCAGACCTGAACAGCAAGTTGCAGAGTAGACTCTTCAAGAAGTAAGGCATAGACTAAGCTATGTAGCATAAGCCTGGTTATATGGAATGACATGCTAAGAGTTTATATAGTGAAAACCTTAGTCTTTGACTCTAGCCAAGTAATCTTCAAACATGTAGGAAAGTTTATAATGCAAGGTGATGGCTTTAATAAGGGTAGGGAAAACACTGAGGACAGATGAATGTCCTTTATACATAGAAATAGAGCGTGGGCATTTTTAGTCCATTGGCTTCCCATTATTACATTGTGAGTTTAATTTCTTTTTTGTTTACTACTATTGTAGTGCCTAGTATGAGTTTTGACATATCATCAGTCCTCAAACTTTCATCTTCAGAATACCTAGGGTTCAGAAGAATGCACAGATGCAATGAGGAACCTGTGTTTCTGCATGTATTACTTCTTACTTTTTTTTTTTTGGTCATGGGGCCTGAACTCTGGTCCTGCGCACTGTCCCTCAGCTCTCAGCTCAAGGCTAGCTCCCTACCACTTGAGCTACAGTGCCATTTCTGGCTTTTTTCTGCTTATATGGTGCTGAGGAATCGAACCCAGGGCCTCATGCATGCGAGGCAAGCACTCTACCACTGAGCCAACTTCCCAGCCCTGTATTACTTTTATATAGAGATGTATAGCTTGATTCCTATTAGTATACCTGATTGTCTGTGAACTTGAAAAGATGGTACCTTTTGAATTACTTTTGAATCATATCTTTAATTTAGCAAAGAGAAAATGCTTTATGAAGAAGAGCAACCCAAGTCACAAGAAATAGAGGAAGAAAATAAAGAATCCAGCAGCTCCAGTTCAGAGGAAGAAGGTGAAGATGAAGCTTCTGAGTCAGAAACTGAAAAGGAGGCAGGTAATACACAGATGATCACAGCCGAGACCCTCATTTCTGCTGCTTGTCACAGAGCTGGCCAGGGCTCCCCAAAAACTTGAAGTTCAGTTTTCAAGGGCAAGAGATCAAATTGCTCATGACAACTTGGTTATAAAAGCTGTAAGCTATGTTAAATTCTACCTATCAGTTCATATGCAACCAGCAGACAGGATTTAGAAAGTCAGTGTGCTGAGAGACAGAGATCTTGTAGAGGCACCTTCAGTCACATGCTTTAACAAACTGGGGGAAATTTATGTTTAGTCCTTGGGTTAGTTTGGTTCCTTAACCAGAATCCTGCAATCTTTTCCCTGCTTCTCATTATTTGAAGCTCTTTCCAATCTTGAGTGGGAGTTTGAGTAACAAAATTGTATTTACCTTTGTGACTTTTACTAATAACATATACAGTTTCCTCAGAATCAACACTGAAATGATTATTCAAATTCCTTCCATAAAATGGCACAGTATTTGCATATAATCTGTGCATACCCTCCTGAATACTTTAAATCATGTCTCGGCTATTTATGGTAAATAGGTGTTAATACTATGTTGCTCAAGAAATGACAAGAAAAAAAATTGTTCATCACAGGTTCAGGTATTTTTCCAAGTATTTTCCCATCCACAGTTAGTTGAATCCACTGACATGGAAGCTGCGGATATGGAGGGCTCTGCAGCATATAGAACTTCTTATTTTTTATTTTATTTTTATTTTTTTGTCGGTCGTGGGCCTTGAACTCTGGGCCTGGGCGCTGTCCCTCAGCTCTTTAGCTCAAGACGAGCGCTCTACCACTTGAGCTACAGCGCCAGTTCCAGTTTTCTGGTGGTTTATTGGAGATAGGAGTCTCACGGTCTCTCCTGCCCGGGCTGGCTTTGAACCGCGATCCTCAGATCTCAGCCTCCTGAGT